TGATGACGTCTACGAGGAGTACAAGCCGTTTGCGATCGTCTATAAGATGCTCACTCCCCTGAACCGCCAACGGGCTCGATCACTTCATCGTACTTTGTCGCACGAGAGGCACCAGTCCTTGCTTCGCCTTTTTGCACCCTAGCCTGCTAGCAACTTTGCTTGTGAGGTCCCCTCCTGCAAAGTAGAGCACCAGGTTAGCAACGTCTCTGTCCAACTAGGACACCAGCAGCCTTTTGCAAGCCAAGATAAAGCAGCGGAAAAGTCTCCTGCATCTCCAACTGCAGCACAGTCCCTTCTCACTAAGACTACTGCGGCATTCTCCGGCAATAAGGTCTTTCTGCAGATAGTTGGAGCCTGATGCAGAGCCAAGGCCTCAGCCCTGGCTGATTCACCTAGTAACACATTCAAGTCTGCAGCTTTCTGCTTTCATTGAAGCTTGCCACAGCCGGGCTCAGCCTCTCCACACAGGCTGGCCACGTGAGGTCTCCATCCAGCTAGCAAACCAGCCATGCCTTCACCGTCTCGCGAGGTTCTGCTCGAGATTCTCCTGAAGTCGCTCCACGTCCCAACGACCATCTACCTACCTGGCGGCATCAGTGAGCACATGGCCACATCAGCCTCAGCAACAACTCATCTCGCCCCGAGGAGGCTCCTCTTCACTACAGAAGACCTTGAACGCATGGCAGAACGAAGCATGCGAGTAGCATCACGTCTCTGCAGCTTCATATGTCACTTGGATCGGTACCTGGCTTGGCGCGAGGGAAGACACACTGCCCTGCCCCTTGAGGCTAGCCCACGTATCTTGGCAGGTAAGCGCAAGCACATCGACGACGAGCAGCCTTCAGCGCACCTACCCCCGAATATGGGGCCCCTCCAGCGCCAGCAAATCATGTACCTCACCCTCATGATCCACAACTACACAAATGACGGAGAAGGCTCGCCGTCCTTTAGCACGTCCGAAGCCGATCAGGCTGGTGCTTTAACCTGGCATTATCTCACCGGGAGGCTCTCGCAATCAGAGCTGAATGCCATTCTGCTCCGCACTTTGGAGCAGGCCAAGGTCATTCTGAGGTCTGAATTCACTCCAGCACATCAACGGAACCTACTCCAGCTGCATCCCCAAACGACGGCGGAGACCTGGCAAGGCCAAGCATATTTCCCCCTAGGCCTCCGGCTTCAAGACCCACATCAGCTTGATCTTGACGCATACGATTTCAGAACGCTCAAAAGAGCATCACTTCAGCTTCGCCTACTACAACAACTGCGGACTATTACGGCCTCCACACCTACATCGGCCAGCGACCAGATCCGAGATGGCTGGGATTTCCTGAACAAGACCGTGATCTCTCAAAGCTTGACTACGAGGACTACCACACCAAATTGGTTTCAATGATCCCGCACTATCAGGAGACACTCCGAGAGATCCTGACACTGTACCGCCTATGGCTGTCAACCCCTCTGTCCGATGAGGACTTCCTGTGGGTGCGCAACCTGGTAGTGAATCAGCTTCTACCTAGAGACACTCTGCATCGCTACTTTGCTGACAGTCTCTGGCAACAAATACGACACAGATATGGAGGAGACCAAGGAGATTCGAGCAGGCACAAGGAGTCATCACAATTCTTTCCCCGCTCCACGACCAGGTCTATGATGACTATAAGAACTTTGCTGCGGCGCTGACACTGCTCCTCGTTCGACATCGTCAACGTCTGAAGCAGACGCTAGACGACAAAATTCGGGGCTAGAGACCGTCCGAGCACCAAAGCCTTCCAAACGAGTGAGGTCCCCTCCTGTTCACTGCACTATCTTCCCAAATTGCGGGAAAAAGCGTGTAGCTCCGATCTTCCCACGCCAAGCCTCACTAAGCACAGCTCTTCTCGCAAAGTTTTCCCTCAGGTTCGCACGAGTGAGGTCCCCTCCTGGCGAACTTCCACCTAGGCCCATGGCAGACCTTCACCCCGTCCTCAGCCGTGAACAGGCAATGGAGGTACTTCTTGAGTCTCTTTTCCTACCGCTGCCGGTTTACCCTACAACTCCATCTGGCGCCGCCGCAGCGAGCAATCTGGACCTGGCATCCTCACGCACCCCTGCGGGGGAAGCGATCCCACACTTGAACCGCCAGATACGGATAGCCTCGCGCACCTGCAGCTTCTTGAAGCTGCTCGCGGAGAAAGTTCACCGGCACATGGGAGAGTTGCGGCTCTACCTTCCCAAAACTGCACCCCGAAACTTGGCCGCAAAACGGAAGCATGAAGAGATGATGCTGAC